TCGGTGTCAAGTCCTGGAGATGGAAGCGGCTAAGCCGACGCATGATGCCTGTCTGGACAATCTGGATGCACCAACTTCTGTTTCAAGGCAGCTGCCCCCCCCTTCCGGCCCACAAAGAGTGAGAAAACACGGGATGGAACCGGTCGAGCTAAAAACAACTTGGCCTCCCCAAGCGGTGTTTCTCGAAATCATTGGGCTAGAACGCGCAGCTAGAATCCGCATGCTATCCTTGCATGATGTTCATAAAGACTTGTGCTTGTCCCTGTACCCATCTATAAACCTGGTGCAACTTCCACAAGAAGCACCATCACCTCGCTGCAGACGTGTTCACATGTTTGGGAACTCAGGTCCCCCTATGCGCCCCCAAAGGCATCATCTTCGTCCTCATCGTAGGAACCGTTGGGAAAGAAGCAGATACCTGGAGAAATCCTAAACCCTCTGCAACCGATACAACCTCTCCTCAGAAAACTACTCCTGTAGCCCCACACACTGTAATTGTTACACAGGAGGTTCTCAAGAAAGGTAAAGGTAAGGGCCCTCAGAAAAATTCAGGGATGATAACGGCATTATGGGTATCCCCCTTTAAGCATCATGTAGGTAGCCTTTTGAGAAAATCCAGCATTTTGATCGCACAGGCATTTGGTCCTGTTGGCACAAAGTGCCGCCATCCCACGGCACAGCGGCCCAGCAGGACACAGCCGCAGGCACTGGGCAGGGTTTGGGTTTTCAGGTTTCGGATGCAGGGCTTCTGCCTCTAGAGTTTAGGATGTGTTGTTTACAGGTTCTACAGGTTTGGGCATCGGGAACCAGGTACCGCATGCAGGTACGATAGGTGCCTGAACTGCCTAAATGATTAAAGTGGGATGCTGTATACTATCAACTGCACAGCTAACCAAGAAAGAGTCTTGCCCAACGTTCGAGAATAATGTTGCCAACTCGTCAGCCCGAGCAATGCTCAACGGGACTGGCGCGAGAACACAAACAGCAAATTATCCCGAAGCTGTGTGCCCTTTTGGGGAAAAGAGGGATAAAACAATAGGTCTAAGCTATCTTATGGATCTATGGTCAGGTTGGGGCCCAATTCTTGTTCTGTACCTTATAACACTTCATAAAGCTCCACAATAGTTGCCATAGACTAGGACCTGCGACACAGGTAGGGCCCAGGTGGGGGCCCTTGGTCAGGAGCTTGGATATACGGTCTTCTAAAATTAGACTTACTGAAGAAGAAAGGGTTGCGCAAGACGACAGTCATTAGGGCCATTTCTGGGCTTCTTGATAAGGCTGCCGGAACGACATTCACCACGCCCAGTAAGAAACAAGACAGCAAAAGGCTGAGGACGTCTTCATGTGAGCGACCCGAGAAATGCTGCGATCGTAGACCTGCAGTTCAAGGGTCATGAGCGGTATGCAGCATCATACGGAATCATACGTCGTCATATACAGGCAAGTTCTCCATCTCACGACGATTCACGAAAAGCTGCCTCAACACTGGTGCTGCCAGCTCATTCAGTAAGGCCACAGCGCAAGTGGAGGCGGTGCTGAGCAAAGGCTAAGGGCTCCTGTGGTGGGATGCTGTGCCAGATACACTCGGCATAGTTGATCGAAAACTGAACAATGTTGTACACCGATTCTGCTTCTTGAAGACGAACTTCACTTGCCACAGGGCACTTAACCTTTTGAGCTAAGCAGCGCGAGTTGGGGCACGCGGCAAAGCGCAGGATCTGAGCAGAAGGCGGAGTGTAAGATCAAGACATAACGAACTGCGCGCTGCGAGCTTGTCTGAGCTGTGGACTCCATACAAGGAGCATTGCGTCCTGTGCATGGGAAACATTGCAACTGAGTACCCCAGGCTCTTCTGGAATGCCTGGCTTCATGTCTCAAAACTGCACTGCACTGTGCGGGACGTCCTGTCATCCTCGCTCTCGGAAGCCTCGCGGCATCCTTCCAGCACACAGAACTTAAGGCCCGATCACATAGCACCTGCCCCTGCCTGCAGAGACTGGACCCCGGCGGCGGCGCATTGGGCAGCCCGAGACATGATGGGATGGCGATACGCCTAAGGCCTAACGTGTAGTCTGGAGTTAATGTCTGTCGCCACTCCTGCCTTTGCTTCTGCATGCCATGCAGAGCGTGAACTTCAGGTAAGCAATAACGCATAATAACGCTCAAAAAGACTCCAGCATCAGGATTCACTATCCGAATCCAAACTCTGCGGAACACGATGTGCGGTACGGTACAAGTCATACAACCTGCTGAAGGGCGTACAGCTGTTGAACCAATGTGAACGACAAAGAAGCAGTGGGTCTGGGAGATCAATAGCTAACAGAATTCACCTATCAAACGCCAATGATGGCCGAATCTTGGAGTGGACGAGCGCCACTTGCTAGGTCTTCATAGTCATTTTGGCTGCAGGACTGATGGGTCTGCAGACACGGAGTCTACACTGGACAGACAGAGGCTGCTAAGAGGCTCGGAGAGATATCACGGCCGCCTGGCAGCAACTATGCCCACTTTGGGCGAGCTATCCCCATGCGACGTTTGCCGGAGTCGGGGCATCGAAAAAGGTTGGTCTTGAAAACTTGAATCGTCAGGAAGCGTGACACACAACCTCAGAGACTGATGACCACCTCAATGTCATCCTCATCGTGCACCACCTGCCAGTGTTCACAGATATCAACGAAATCAAACTGTCAACGGAGCAGCTTGTCTACCTGCACACGGCCCGAAACGGCCAGCTGATGTAGTTGTACCATGCTAGGAGAATGCAGCGAGCAAGTTCTATACGTCTATACTGCTGTAAGCCTGTTTCCCACAGCAAGTATCCAGATCAGCTGTACATTGGCGCTTCTCCTGTTCACAGCACATGCAGTCGGCTCTAAAGGCAAGAGAAAAAACTGCCAGCACTTTACGCGCTTTCTTAGGATTTCCTTGCTCAGCATTGCTCCCGCTTGGGAATGCGCATATTTCTATTTAAAATGACTTCCCCGCATCTACCCTTCCTTCGCAATCCGTGAGTGATTGCTGAATGGTCCGCTCAAACCTGTAGAGGATCCCCACCCATCCCTGTAGAACCCCTGGAAAATCCCTACATACTCCCCATAGAGAGCCCTTCGAAATGTCCATATTCTTACTGCAAACACCTGCATAAGCCCCGGTTTCAGTCGGCTTAATGTGAGAACTAAACACGTGCACATTCATTAACACCTCATGATCCTCAAGTAAGCCCCAATGCCCTGAACCTTAAATTCAGTAATCTGTACTTTGTACACTGAACGTGACCGCTCTCTTCGGCAGCTTTACCTCCCCCCTTAAAGTAGGTGAACCCGCTTCAGTGGGAAGCAGCTACGGATATGCACGGAGCCCCCCTTCCACGCCAGACTGAGCGTTTTCTTGCAGGGGGGGTACTCAAGGTGAACTGCTGTCTTGAGGAGTGGCCCCAGGGTCCGAGTAGCTAACGTCCAATATAGCTAAACGGCCAATATAGCTAAACGTATATTGCATGGAAGGGCCGCGCATCACCTCGCTTCTTCCCCTCATCTCAGAATAGAGATCTCAAATCATGCCTTAGTGACAATGATCTGTCAGCTGATTCTGTACTTTCTGATTGCGTACACAGAGGCGGCCAAATTCGACAAGAGCCCGCAACTTTCAGACACGCCGCATGCACAAACGGTTGTGATGCAATCCTTAGATGATATGATGCAGACGGTCATAGCAGAGCACAAGGAATGAAATGACCCGCACACAACTGCTGACCTATCTGCCCCGGCATGTTCTGCCAATCAAGGAACCATGGTGTCTGTTCCAACTTGCACACAAGAGGTGCCATCGGTCTTGGTGTCCCAGTGCAATGTCAGCGCAGTGTGCAACGGGGCGCCACTTTTCTGCATGATGATGCAAGTGACAACCTGAAGTGCTGCCAGTCAGGGCTGCTTTGTGTCAGCACCACTTCTCTTGAAAGTACAACTCCTGGGCCGGCACCAAATCGCAGTGCAGCTAGGTTGCGTACTTGAAAGGCTTGTTCAACTTTGCAAGCTCCTGCAACATAGCAACGAACAAAACGAGAACATCAGAGACTGTATTTCTCCTTGAGGCACTCGTCAATGATCTGGTTCGTCCACGACGTGACGCGTTCCTTGCTGTACTGTGACCTGCAGGGGGACAGAAAAGCAAATGTGCTAACTTGCAAATTCTCTTGAAATCTTGCAACAGGCTTTGCTTGCAGCATCTTCGACCCTCCAAGAGTCTTGGTAATGGCGTTCTTCACAATTTCGTTGACCTGCTCGCTGACAAATTCGTTCTCGCCCTCATCATCCATGGCTGGGCGGTTCGACCCCTTCCAACACCTCTATACTGTAGCAGCAGACACAGCAGAAACCTCTTTGAGGTCAACTGGGTGTGTTTCACCCTTGCTGCCTGAGCCAATGCGGACATGTTGTGTGCGTGTGTGTGTGAGCAGTCATCTCAGAATTCAGGAAACCCAGCCTAGAAGGATTGTAGCTGCCGGCTAGAAGATTCGTTTGGGGCTTCCTGTACAAGAGTAGATGGGCCACTTCTGGCATGGCGAAAGCTCAACAGGAACCGCGTGCAGTGCAAAACGCAGCGGACATGCATGCAGAATTTGAATCATGCACTTTCTGAGGATTCCGTCAGCAGTGAAACACTTCTCCTCTCGCACGGGACAGCTTGAGGCTGCACTTGTCGTGGACAATGCAAATCACATAAAATGTTGTCAACCTCGCGCTGCGAGGCCTCAGAGCCATGATTGGCATCAGCAAGCACCAAATATCCCAAAACATGCCCTGCAAGTCAGGTGGCAGCTTTCACGGAAAATGATTCTCTCTTGGATCCAATATAGGAAACCACCACATCAAAAGCCTTGTTGTTGAAACATCACTTGAGCCCAATTCTTAGGCAATGTCAAGCTGAAAGCTGGGCCCATCGATATCCAAGGTGCAGGGATACTGGTCGCAAACGCAGCTTCCGCAACAGCCGCCTGATCATATCATGCCTGGGCCAGAATCTTGCAGCTTGCCGTGTAGTCACGTCTCAAACTTGGCTCCCGTGTGTAGGCCCAACTTACCAGGATCCTTCTAAGCAGACACAACTTAGAAAGACTCCCAAGACCTGACAAACACATCAGGAATGCCAAAGACAAGTTTCAAGCACAGACGGTCGTGATGCAGTCCTTGGCTCGCGAAGAAGGGGCATGATCTTTCCCAGAAGCACCCCATGGTAGGGTCAGGCAGTTCATTGAACATTCGTTGCGTTTAAGTTAGCAGCCTTGAAATCTCTGAATGCACGAAGGCTTCCCGGAGAAATTCAATTCAAGCTGAAACACTGCACAGCGCTACTTCTGTGCAAAATGTGTCATTGTTCTAATTTTGGTGGGTTTTGTGCAGGCGGAGGCCCCCTCTCATACCCCCCTTATCCCATTCTGCTGCATAAAATCCTGGGATGCTTCCACAATACTTAAGTCCAATATCCGGGACCAGGCCCGTCGAGGACTGCGTTCCTAACGGTCTGCGTCCACCAAGTCCAGCGACGGTCACGCTAAATGCAGGCCTAGCTATAAAGATTGTCGCGCGCATTGATGCCCCCAAACCCCAAACTGCCAGAACATGTCATGAAGCAGTCTAATTGCCAACTAAGCCTGGATTGCAGAGGACAACACAATGCGGATTGCACATTGCGACACCAACTGATGAGAGTTCTCACTGGCATTACAGCACTGGGAAGCAGCGCAGCATGGACAGCGCCTACAGATTGCACAGCAGTCTTCCCATGCACATAGTGGCATTCACCTGTTTTTACTTGCACGACTTCCTGCCAAGAATCCATGGTGTCTGTCCCCACTTGCACACATGACGTTCCATCTGTCTTGGTGTCCCAGTGCAAAGCGAGCCCCGTGTGCAAGGGTGCACCGCTCTTCTGCATAATTATGCAGGTAACTACCTCTGCAGGCAGCAGCTTGTCAGGGGAGAAGGAATTGCTGCAAGGACAGGATTTATCTAAACAAAAAACAAGCTTTGGAATCTCCAGTCGAGACACATATTTGAAAGGCTTGTTCAGCTTTGCAAGCTCCTGCATACAAAGGCGACAACCCGACAAATCCAACAGAGAAGAAATGTGCCCGCAACACAGCATTCTAGGCCTCAACGCCAAAGACGTGGGAAAGTAATTGAGCGTGCATTCCAGATTTCTCTACACAACGCGTCGTTGTGCTACATATTGATTCCAACGTTGTTTGGGCCAACATGAAATCTAGCAATCTTTAGCCAGCACGGTCGTCGTCTTGTGAGAGCCATATTGTTACCTGTGTTTTTAATTTTCGAAAAAGCCACCTCAAAAGACGGGCCGTGAACGTTTCTTTTTTGGGGTGCTAACATGTGCCCGCAGCAGAAGCCTTTGAATCCGGAAAGGCAGGAGCTCCAGAGGCTTCTTACTATCGGTTGTGCCCCCCCAACTAACTTCATGAATCGCAAGGGACAGAAGCAACAATTTTCTCTGGGTTGCCAATTGTTGCTTCTGTGCTTGATGGAGGGAAAAACGTCCGAAGAATGCCAACTCAACACCGCAAGAGCAGAGAAGAACAGAAGAGTCAGCATTACTCGTGATATCGCTTGATGCAATGGGAACTACTTTTGCGTCGGGCAGAGAAATGGTACTGGAATGGACGAGGTTTTGTGTCTTCTTCATCTCCTCGCGTGCTCAAAGTCCTTGCGTGCTGAAACAGACTTTCGGGAAAACAAGCGGATGTGAGCTTTCACAGAACGATGTAACAACGACACCCATAAGATCTATGGCAACAGCAGCAGCTGCAGCAACCGCCACTAAACTGATACCAGAATTCACGACGCAAAAGATACGTCCTTCAAGCATTCGTCAATGATCTGGTTAGTCCACGAAGTGACCCGCTCCTTGCTGTACTGGGACCTGGGCGGTTTACCGTTCATTTGAAGCTTGCGTAAATCCTGTACAGCCCTTTCCGTGCAGCAATCTATGATGGTGATGGCATGCTAGCTGAGCATTGCCACCAGACCAGTCAGAAAAACCTTCTTCTTCTGCTGCAGGCTACAGGGTCCCCTCCCATATCCCATCGGTTGGAATCCAGCAGTCGGGTACCCATGAGGCCGGGAGTACTGACATCTCACGACATCCGATCCTTCATCTGCACCAAATCTTTGAGATCTCTACTATGTAAATCAGCTTCCTCCCTTATCTATGAGCTGTGAACCTGCTTTGGAAACGTGACACACACTGAACCATTGGCCTCCCGCGAACCAGGGTAATCTTCTTCTGTTTCACGCTCTATTGGAGGATCCCACGAGTCCGCAACTCCGAGTACCCTGGTTCGCAGGGTCTCAGAGGACAGAAATAGAGCGTGAACCAAGCCAGCTTGAATCCCTGAAACTCCAGTTACAGTTGACCATATAACGTACAATCCCACGTGGCCCCGGTTTAGACTTTCTTCGTTCTCTGCTGGGCGCTATAACTGCTACACTGCATTACCTAGACATCTCCTCTCAGCTGACAGTGACTGCAACCATGCCTAGAGTAATTTTATCTTCTTCTGAAGGCCACATGGGACCCTACCGCCCTACCGAGGCACAGCCGCGAGCCTGCGAGTAATATCTTCTCCCTCAAGGGGCGCATCAGGGCTAAGCCCCCGTGGCACCTTCCCTATCAGAGTCGGACAACAATAGCTCAGCTGATCAGAGGATGTGACTACTATCTCTCTCGCTCTGCCGGCTTGCGTCCCCAGAATAACGATGCTTCGACTCTGCTGCTACCACTGCTACTACTATGACGACTGAGCCACTGCTACAATACCATTGCAGAAGCTGTCTTTTGACAAGCAACCCTCCAAGCGTCTTGGTTATGGCATTCTTGACAACGTCATTAACCTGCTCAACCACGAACTCGTTCTCCCCCTCATCGTCCATAGCTGGAAGTAACTGGGCGTTCCTTATTAACTCTTGTAAGGAGTGGCTCAGATGTGCGGATACAAGTGGCATTGCTTATTCTGCAAGACCCCATGAGATTCTACAGCAACGCCATGTTGAATGTATTGGAGGTCACTGGCTCACCTGTAACCCTGCAAACTGTGTGCAGGATTGTATTATAGGAACCCAAGCTTGCTGTTTGAGACGGCCGCGGGCGCATGCACTCAGATGCACAACAGCACGATCACCCGACATCACCCGATGATTTGCATCAATTTGGGGTCCAATCCAGGCATGCCCTCGGACAGGTTGCGGATACTCGCTGATGCGGACGTCCAAGACATATTCATGTGTTCGGCTTAGGGGCAGACTTCCTTATGCGGACGAGCCTTGGAGAAGCCCTGTCCAATGTTCTCGAGATAGCCCCTACCCAGCCCTCTTTGAAATCCCCTTCTCAAGAAATGCTACTGAAAGCCGCTCCAGCGAATTGCGAGCTCGTCCTTGCAGACTCCTCCCAACCCCAAACCATGAATACTAAACCCCACACTCAACCCCTTTGGGAAGGCAAGCAAATCCTGAGTGGTGTGTGCAAACGACAAAGGATGCCTCGCCACGCTGACGAAGGGCCGCCAGGGAGAGCAGCTCAGCCTGGAACGCCCGTGGATTGTGGAACTTCATGTCGCTTCTGTCTTGTGGTCTATCAGAAGTACAGAAGGCATTCCGCGGACTATGCTAGTATGTACTACATGCTGAGCAAAGGACTTTCAAAATCATGAGACCCATGTTGGGAATCTGAGAAATCATGGACAACTTCGGGCTTCCACTGAGTACTATGGGGCGTTTCAGAAGTACCCGAGCATCAGCACCCTCAAAGATCTCAAAAAGGATCTTGCAAGCTTTGGGCGTGGGTTCAATATTAGAGTTATAGTTATATTGAGGTTATATTGAGATAATGGAGAAGAAAATGGAAACTCCTATTGAGGGTTTAGGGTTTAGGGAGAGCTCATAGCCTTCGAAGTCTAACAGGTACCACATTCGTTGTTTCGGTTGTACACCACAGGCCTTTGCCCTGCTTGATGAGGCTTTGAGACAGCTTTATGGGGTTCTCTAATATGTTCCAGTAGCAAGATGTGCTCAGCACATAAAGCTACGGGCCCTCTTAGCTGAAGTCTTGATGTGGCTCTATAGGTCCTCATGAGAAACCGAAGAGGATCTGTTCCCCACGTAGAAACTAAATCCTACCCTGGTTGAACCAGCTTGAAAAGCCAAAGAGAAGACGTTGAAACATTGAAAAGTCGCCAACACTCAGCTTCAACAGCAACAAAGCTGCATGCGGTTCTAAAGGACGCGTTGACCCTGATGGAACTGTCTTGCAACCAGTTTCGAACAAAGTTTACTGCGCCAGCGGGCTTTCTTGCCAGCAAATAAACGTGCTCTTCGGTTTGGACCCCATTTTTCAGGAAGGTGCCATATCATGATGTAGCAAATACACGACATGAGTCATGAGATTTCTAGAAAGTATTTTGGTGCCATTCACACCAGCCTTCACTCAACAGTAGCTTCTGCGAACCTTGCAGCAGAAGATTGGGATTTTTTTCGTGCTGAGTGGCTGCTCTGTCTTGGGCAAGTTCTAGGATCGTGCGACGCACTTTGTCGTGTTCCAGCATTGCGCCTCTCCCAGCTTGCCGCTCTGGAGCCCTGCCGTGCTGGCACCGACACCCGTTGAGCCCGTGTACAGGCTGCCCGCGCAGAGAAAGACCGCAACGCTTGAGGGTAGTCTGCAACCTCTGCGCTGCTTGAAGCAGGAGTGGGCAACGGCAGCGGTGGCAACGAGGGCACCATCCGCAATCTGCAGCGAAAACACTTGCAGTCATCGCCGTGTCTGTACCAAACCAAGTAACGCGGCATGGCTTGGCTACCTTTGTATACTATGTACTCCCTGTGGTCAAGGACTCCACCATGCTCCCGGTCTTCACCAACCACGGAATCAAATGCACTTTCGGCTTCGTCCTCTTCGTCGGGCTGGAATCTTGGCATCGTGCGAAGGGCTCTTAAAGCCTTCCCAAGACAAACTTGTGCCACAATGAGACACCTCATGCCATCAGCCGCCGCATCGACGTATGTGTCGGCTTTTGCAGCGACATCTGCAAAATAGGTGCCACAGCCAAAGAATCGACCAGCACGTTCCCCAGAGCGACAAGGGTCAAAGCCCTCGCGGAGGATCCCATCAATACTGCATGCTCGACAGCCGTGGTAGAGCAGAAATTCGTCGAAGCCAAGGTCAAGGTCATGACCAAGATCTGGCCGCAACGCCACACAGTCATGCAGCTCACATCGAGAGGCCCCTCGAGTTTCAAACATCTTCATCCGCTGGTCGCGATATTTGCCCTCAGCATCTAACATCAAAATCCGCTCGATTCGAACAACACCAAGTGCCTTTTGCACCGTAAGCTCGCCGCTGCCCAACCTGTCTCGGGAGAGAACGGCACCCGTTCTTTTCAAGTGTTCGCTCAACTGGCGAAACTCGCTGCTGCTTTCTGCCAGCGTCCTCAGCATGCCTTCTTAGCATGCACGGAGACATTGTTCGACAGCTGTCTTTGCTTCTGCTCTTTTGCTTGCCTTACACCTGCAAAAAGATCTGTTGTCTGCTCGTTGATGCTGAGTGCGAAAGGAACCTTAAAGTGTTCCATCAATGATATGGACGACGGTTGACAAAAAAATGATACCAGTAACAGTGCCTTCAAGCACACTTGATGCTGGTCACTTGGCAGAGTGCAGAGTTGAAGAAAAGGCTCGAAGCCCAAAAGCCTGCAAGAGGGAAACTTCAGCGCCGAGAAGTTAACTAGCCCAACAGCGCCTGTTTAACAGGTGGAGGCGTCTCTGAGCACAGTTATTCAGCTGTAGGTCCCTACAGAGACACAAGCATGGTGCCAAACGAGCCTGACAAGTCTTCTCCTCCAGTTTCGTTTACAATTCTGGGCTTCAGGCTGCCTGCCGGCCGGCATTGGCGACTCTCAGATCCCATGCCTGGTGGAAGCAGGGCAGAGGCCAATGCCACAACACAGCATGCCGTGTCAAACCGTGGCCTTAGCATGGTGCTCGAGGACACTCGCCAGAAAGTTGTGCATCATCTCAGGGACAGGAGCTCGGGATCATGCACAGCATATGAGGCCCTCAGCAGGCTGCAGCCTGAAGATCAAACTTCACGGCCGGGTCCTCAAAGGCGCGTCGCATCAGCGCCTGGAAGCAGAACGAGGCCGAAGGCACATCTTGCTTCAGGGTCACATGCAAGCTTCAGGTTCTGAAGTCTGACAGCAAAGCAAAGCATACGGAGCATGGCAACGGATTCTCGGCTCTTTTTCTTCCTTCGCAAGTCAAACCTCCACTCCGTCCAGCACCTGCAAAGGCTTTCCAGCTGTAGTTCACAAAGTCTACCGGTGTGCAGCAGAAAAGCCGAGTATACTGTAGGCAGTAAGTTCGGACCTGGCCCATGAGTTTTGGAGTGGCCGTCCGCCAGCAATGGGTGCCTCACTGTTGCAGGCACAAAATCCATTTCGCTCATGCTGAAGCTGCTGGGCAATGGACTGCATCCAAGGCACACTTCCCATCACAGTGAACAGCCTCGCCCCACTCATCTTTGACACCTGAGCCCGCGCGCAGACTGAGACCCGCCTCTGTGGCGGCTATCCAGTTTCCCACCGGCAAGCTTCCCAAAGCATCCCACTAGGCAGTCGGCGGTCTTCTGGATCCGTCAGGAGACAGTTGTGCGTCCTACCATGCAGTTTCTGTGACCGGCGTGATGAACAAAACCATGCAAGCTATCACAACGGCTGAGGTTGGCACAAATCCAGAACCTGCGGCTCTCTGAGCAAAAGCGCCTTGAAGGCCTCAGGGGAGCGCCACTGCTCCGGCGCAACCTTTGCAGCATTCTGCTACAAAGCTTCTTCGGAAGGACAACCTGCAAATGGCAAGCAAGCCTGGAGTGCAAGCTCGTAGGATGCACGGGGCTCCTCGCAAAACTTAAGAGTAAACATTGCACCCAAAAACCGACAAATTAATCAGCAGCCACTGCCACAGTCCTTGAGATACACGAGAGGCTTGACTGCCAGGGCTGCTCGCAGTTGCCTTGATAACAACAGATCTCCAAGATCCTTCAAGAAAACTTTGCCGTACAGTCTGCAGGGGAGTTTCAGGGTCCTGTGTGTCCGAAACCGTGCCAAGGAGCTCAGAAGTCAGCTGCAGTGGGCCCTCTCTGAGCCACTGGAGCCTTCAACGCATGAGCAGCGCGAATGCATGTCTTACCCAGCACAGCAGTTGAACGCACAAATCAAACATTGAAGAGAGGCAACGGCTGTTTCATAGTGAGGTTGATGACTCCAAGGACACAATTGGGTGTCGTCTTGGCTTCGTGTCGCTGTTGTCGAACCCAAATGAGAACGTGATCTTACCTTATGCTACTAAGGAATTAAGGAATAGAGTAAGTATCCCTGGATGCTGTACAGTAGATGCTGTTGTTCCACTGAAATCAAGGCCATTCTGAGCAACCTGCGCTACAGAGATCTGCTCAGGAGCCTCACAGACTTAGAAAAACTGCAGCTGAGCACTGCAATTCAAACTGTCTGTTAGGTGTTGCTTGGCCTCTGGCAGGAGGAAGCTTGGGCTTCAAGTAGCTAGGCCTGAGTCAGAAAAAGGCTGTCAGCAACAGTGAAATGGAGAAACATTACCGCATCAAGCTGTTTTCAGCTTGGATGCTGGCCTGTTGAGCTCGAACCATCCTGTCCAGCCAAACGCCTTTCCAAGCTTAGCTGCTCAGACGAGAGCTGATCTCAGGAAAGAGCAAAGTTGGCCTTGGCAAGGATGAATTCTGCATCTGCCTCGCCTGACTTCCAAGCGCTTCTCTGTTCCATGGCTTCAAGCGTTTGCTGACCTTCCTCTCCAACGATACTGCAACAAAAGAAGATAATGACACAGCAAGCAAGACGAACAGTTGCATCGCAATCTCGCTTAGCGGTACTCCCTCTTAGCATAAAGGCAGAATGAATGCGGTTTGGCTGCTGGCATCATCGAGCCGCTGCGCAAGTGCCTGGGCAGCAGCCTGCCATTGTGCCAATTCGGCATTGAGAGAGCGGCAGTCCAAGAAACATTGTTTCAGTCACACAGAAGCAGGCATGGCAGAATCATGGCAAAAATCCAGGAAGCAAAGTCTGGACTCAAAGAGGAGTGGCTGAATGCCTGCCAAATCTCTGCACCGCCTCGTTCAGCGACACCTGACTTGGCTTGAGCTGCTGAAGAGCCGGCTACGAGAAGCAAGGCCTTCACGAACAGCAGCCAGAAGTGCAGCAACGGCGGCAGGATCACGCCTGAAGAGAACGAGATGACGCATCGATTTCACCGAGCCCCACTCGGCAGCCACAGTACCTGTTCTTCATAAGCCCGACGGCGCTGTAAAATAATGCACGTTGCGTTGTTGCACCCACTTCTGCTCGACGTCATCATTATATACATCAGTAAACATGTTGTCCGAATAGCTTCTGAAAATTTGTTATCATTATATACATCAGTAAACATGTTGTCCGAATAGCTTCTGACAATTTGTTAGAACCGCGAGAGCGCTAACTGTGGCCGCGACGCACCGCCCACTGCTCGCATCCCCAGAACTGGTACAGGGCACTGCTGGGATCCCATCTGCGACTTCTGCAAGTAAAGTGCGCCTTGTAACCGCTTGCCGACACCCCAGCTCGCATAGCTCGCCCCACTCGCTCCTGAAGGCTTTGGCCTGCTTTGAGCCCTCAACGAGCCAAGTTACACCTCCCAAACTCAAAAGATGCGCCACCTCTCCCCTGCCAGCACAAAGCCGCAAGCCAGGGGCCTCGAACAGAACACACGAAACATCGCGAAACATCGCGAAACACAACACAGCCAGCTTGATCAGAAAAATATCTCAGGAAGCAGCCATGCCAGCATAGTAGAAAATGTCACTGCCACCTCAGTGTCAGCGTGAAAGGCTTCAGAAGAGCCCCGTGTCAGCAAAGAAAGCCGGGCAAACCTGGTTTCATGGAGCAGACAACGAAAATCGAGCTTCTCTGCCTTTCCTCCTGGGCTTAGGACGGCCATCACTGAATCTGCCGCTGTCAATCGCAGAAGAATCTGTGAAACCGTGCTTGCGGATCTGCGGATGATCCATTGCCATCCGCTCAAAAGATTTTTAGCAAAGAAATATGAGTGGAAAGGAGCTAGCAGCTAGCCTTCCAACCTACCTTTACACAAATCCAGCACCCCGGCTGCTACTGCTTCAGTCGCACCAGCCTCTTGAAAGACATACCTCATCACGGCAGGACAAGTGCTTTCAGCAAGATGGTGCACATGGGGAGTGCATAAATACAGCGAATCTCGCCTGAAGACATGTGGGAATGTCTAGGATCCTGTAGAAACCCTGGGTTGCGAAGGGAGGCTTGGGGATGCTTGGGGTAGCTCCAAGGATTCCGCTGATTGTCTTCATATGCATGTGGACGGAGGGGCCTTCTAAATCTGCAACCAGACAAGAGCCAAGACACCAATCGCTGTCGAGAACTTGAACTTTTGAAAGCTTGGGACAAGCTGTGAGCTCCATCCAGGGTTCGACCGATCCAGAATCGATGACTGTCTTCATCTTATCATGTCCTTCCTTGGTTTTTTCTGCAATGACCTTACTCTGGACTGCAGCTCTCTTTCCCGAGCACTCCCCCTCAAAACTTGTGAAGTTGCCAGGAAACAAGTCTAGATGCTATCAGGACCTCACCCAGGCTTGAAATCAAGAGTCTTTCTTGCCGTAGTAGACTAGCAGGGGACACTTCAGCGGTCCAGCTGAAGTATCAAATCTGTAGTTCTCTTCTAGTTTGCAGTCGGCCGTGATGACCGGCACAAACATCTTCTTCATGCCCGGATCTTGCAAAATGAACTCGGTCCCGCCCTTGTCTTTCAGCATCTGCTCAAACCTAGGGGCGGCTCGTGGGCAAAGCTTAAGGATCGAAAATCAAACACCCGGAAACTGAAAAGACGGAGAATGGATTCTTAGGCGTTCAGTTTATGGCTATGACCCGCTATGCAAAGACCTTCGCCGAGGCGCTTTGCCTCGCCCAAACTGGCCAAGCCCAGACGTGATCGGCCCGGCCACTGCGGTGCCTCTACAGGGCTTTGCCATGCGCGCTTGGGATTCAGAGTTTTTGAAGGTTTGGGATGATAAGCTTAGGATGGTTTAGTCGGCCAATCATGCGAAAGCTGAAGGCCTCTGCGCTCACCGCCACAACAGCCAAAGGACCCATGTCCTTTGCCTGCAGCAACCTGACTTGCAGTCTTCCAGGCTACTGGACCCTTGCACACAACATCTTGCGCCGGGGAGGGCCATGTCACAGACCGTGATGCTGACAGGCTACCTGGCAACTTCCATGGCCAGAATCGAGCCGAAGGAGAAGCCAAGCAGTACCTGGTCTCCCGAAAAAAAGAAGGAAAAAAGGACGCAGTACCAAAAAATATTCTGAAGCGGAGGTGCGAAAGGCAAGCCATCCTTCAAAGCTTCCTGGCACACGCAGGGAATGGGCTTCATGGGCCAGCCAACATCATGCACGGACGTTTCGTGCCCGCCAGACAGAAAAATGATACCCACCCGATGCACACCCCAACATAGCAAGTCCCTCGATGTGTTCTCTGCCCAGCCTGGGAGCCCAAGTACTGAGGCGGAATTACAATTGCAGAAGCAGGGAGTAATCTACAATGGCAAGTGGAAAGGAAGGGACGCTAGGCTCAGGCTCTTCACGAAAGCATCCAAATGCAACTCCAAGACTCCAGGCCTGCAAAGCGGCGGCTATATCCTGCACATACTTTGCGGGGTCCTGGCAGCCGGTGCATTCTGCCAGGGTCAACACTGTGCATCTAGCAAAATCACGACTTCACTCAGTTTGCGAGCTGGACAGCCTTCCTCCGCTAAGCAGACCATCAGGTTTTAGCCCCACATTGCGCAGCAGCTTAGGGATGCTGAGCTCCTCGTACAGAGGGTCCTTGACGCGGGTGCCTCGACCTGGATAGTTCACCTGCGTCAGGTGCTGCTACTGTTATCCAAGACTAACGAAACCTGAAGGGAGGTGGCCTCGTATTGCTGGAAGCTCTTCAGATGCTCTGCCCAAGAAGGCGATGCCGGCTTCATAAAGTTGTGGGCAGAGCCTTGCCCGCCCCTGTTGCCCGTCCAGGAGAATATTATCAAACGCCTGCACTGGGAAGCACTGGCAGGTTCTTTGGCATGCAGCACCCCCGGACATCAATTTGGACGAGTGGCCCCTTGGCATCTGGATTGGTCTTCCCAAGCATCTTCAACCAAGGCGTCTTGCCGGTGGGAGATGCACCCTGAAACCAGCCACATGACTTCGTGGCAACTTAGCCGCCGGACCACCTGCCTTCTTCATGGACGGGTAGTTCTCATCGAGCGGCTCAAAGTCGGGCATTTTCACGGCCTCAATAAAATCGTGCCCCGCTACATCTTTGCGCACTACAGTCTATGCTCACTACGTGGCAAAGGTCCCGAGTGTCGCTTCATGGCCCTTGCTTCGGGAAGTTTCAAGAAAGCAAAACACGCCAAGGAACCTCCACGGGAGCGGCCTTTCGGGCCACGAGCTCCTTGCCGCTGATCTTGACGCTAACCTCGGATTTGAGGACACAGAGCGCAGTAGGTGACTTGGAACACAGCATTGCGGCTTGGGACCCTGCCCAGCCCGTTTTGGGGCCAGTGCCTGTCAGCAGCTCGTAGCCTCAGTGTATTCAAGTTGCCCAAAGGCTACAACAATGATTTGAAGATTGCTTCGGTATTTATGAGGGTCGCTTCCCATGCACCTGGACCGCTGGCTGGCTACATGTTGCTTCAGCTGCATTTCAGGAAACGACACCAGACAGAACAGCTGAGATGGCCCACGAAGGCTGTGGACTTGCATCGCCAGACGTGACAAAATTGCTATGACGACTGCGCATCTATGGCTGGATAGAAACCTGAATTCTAGACACTAGTCACTTGTCGTCGTGACCTGATGGGAGGTGTCTTCGGCTACAGTCTGAAGCATCTTTCACCTGATCAGGCCAAGCAACAAAGCCTGTCGCCAGCCAGCTGGAGCTCTTTGATGGAAGCACCAGTGGAAAGGCGATCATCACAGGCCTGGCAGAGTGAAGCCCCCAAATCGAATCGGACCTTCCATCATCAATGTTGCCATTCGCTAAGCAACAGCCCCTACCCTCGGGCCTTTGAAGTCAAGGCCTGCCCTTCCCGCACGAGGATGCCGCCTGCCCGTACGTGATGAGTGTCCGAGCAACTATGCTTTGGCCCTGCTTGTCCAAAAAGAATGTGCGCCAGCCACTTTCAAAGACTTCCTCTGCTCGCAGTGGCCTTTATCAGCACCACCAATGACTTCCCACTCCATGGCTGAAAGCAGGTCGGCTTATGAGAAGCTGCGAATACAGCAGTAAAAGTTTCTCTACAATACTACCCGGCACCTGCATAAATGTTCAGATTGAGAGCATGCATGCGAAGTTGCTCCTGGCGGAAGATGAGCAGCCACATGTTTCGACAGTCTGCTGAGCAACGGCTTTGAGCCAAAGTGGTGGCCGGGAAATCTTGGTGTCGCACAGCCCAGCACTCGCAGGCGGGTTCCAGGCCGACTATGTGTACACACAACATACAACCATAAAGCCGGCTAACACCCCAAGAAACAATCTGTGGCACACATATGTTGAAGTTGCTGGTGCAGGCAAGTCGCAGCTGCCGCTCTTCTGAGGTTGAAGCATGGCACCTAGCTTGCTCTGTTAAAACTGGTAACAGCGCTAGAGGTGATAACATCACCTATGGAAGAATGCTTTAAACAGTATCACTGACAGTGCTAACATCTGCTAACCCACGCTTTAGCACGAGGCACGCTCAAACTTTGGTACTGCGGAAGCTATATGAAAGCATGATTGATGTGATGTTCTCCAAAAATTGTAATGCTACAAGCGATGATAGTATCGCAAATGTAGTATTAAATCCAGCAGGAAATATTGAATTTAGTAATGTTATTTCACCAGCAGTTGGTGCTGTTGTACGACACTTCATATAATATGAGAATACGAGATTTACAAGGAGTATGGAAATTTAGAATCAGAACCTTAACTTGTAGAAATGCCNNTAATGAAAATTTAGATACACTTATGCAAATACAAAGTGTTGGAAAAGGAATAATCTGGACTCCTAGTATCCCCCTTAATAAGCCCTATAATACGCCCCTATTTAATCCCCTGCATAGCAGCCCCTTTTATGGAGTTTAGACTATGGCTCATGTGATCTATGCTGGCAAGAGAAGCATGACAGCCACCATGGTCGTCGACATCGCCGTCATCGTCGACATCGCCGGCATCGGCATTGTTGTCGTATCCCGTTGTCGCCAGCAGGGTCGCGCCGAGGAGGAGGAGGAGGAGAAATTGATAATCATGGTGGTAGTTGTACCAGTACTAACAGCAGCAGCGGCAGTGGTAGCAGTTGCAGTGATGCTGGTCACGGTAGTGGTGTGTGCCGAACACGATGTACTAGTACCGAGTTTAGTATGAGCAATTGCAACAACAATACTGACCATAACGATGGAAGTACAGGAATAAGGATAGAGAGTTGACCAACAGCAACCGTCGAATCAAAGCACTTCTGGCAGGTGGACCCAGCAGCCCAGTTTCTCTTACCTCCAACCTAGCTCCCACCAGACCCGTATGCAGAGCTCTTGAGGCTCCCACAGTGGGCCGTCTCCAAGACAAGCAAACACGAGTCATTTCAAGCAATGCCCGAGGTTATTATGTTATGCGTGGACGAGATGATCGAAGGTTCTTCATGCTGCTTGATAAAGGTCTGCGTCTGGCACGGAAATGAAGTTGTTGGGCTGAAATAGCATCAAAGCTTCGGCATGCACAATTGTTGACGCATTGAGCCTGATGTGCTGCCAACGGAGCTGTTTTTTGACAGCGGCTGACGAACAAACTGACTCCTGCACCTTCCTGGTCTTGCTCTCGCAGAGTTTGAAATCAAGTGTCAAAAGTCCTGCCTGCGGGGAGCTCAACAGCGTTCCAACCCGAAGCAGCCCCTGAGTGCAGTTCCAGCGGCGCTGGCAAACCCTAAACTCTGCTGCCATAACACAAGTTTGCGGAGCTAGCCTAGTCATGAACTGGCATTACAGCCAAAGACGACCAGGACCAGTTTTTCCCTGCGCTGGACCCACCTGCACCACTATCTCCATGGATGCGTTTGCGATGTCCAGTCCCAGAATGCAGGCCTGCACAGATACTAGATATGGGCAAAGATATAGGCTAAGATATAGGCTGGGGCTGGCAGACCCCACGGTAATATCTCAGCTGTTGTTTGTAAGCTTGAATGTGCCTTCCATAAGCTAAATGCTGGCAAGCTTCCACTGCCACAGGAAGGGAAACGCAAACCATGCTAACTCCTTCAGCACTGTCAATGCACGGGAGCACTGCAACATTGCCCTGCAGTCGTGCCTGCATCTCTCTGGCCCAAACAGAAGGGTTTGACTGGACCTGCAGCATGTGCTATTTGTGGGGGGGGCGAAGGAAACTCCAAGCGCCAAAGCCCCATGCTCGCTGTTTACCGGCTTGCTTTTCCGCTTCTTGCTATCCTCAAGGCCTCATCATTTTGCATCGTGGTGCTTATGCTTATTCTTACTTCTATGAGTAGAGCCGTATTGCTACAACTTTCCTTTGCAAATTCAAACTTCTGAAAACATGGTACCAGTAAACGATGCCATCCAAACATTCAAATTCACATGATTTCACTCTTAATCTAGAACCCATGAATCCGAGAAATTGAAGTCCCTTGAGTCTTTGGAACAATGCTTTCTCAGCTCACGTTTTGCGAGATCCCCATGTTTGTACTCGGCGGAAGACGGGCTGGCTCCCAGAATGTGCGTTCGCGTTAGGGATACAGACTGTCAAAAACAGGGTTGCTATCAGTCGAAGCACTGTAATGTTAATATTGCTGGTGCTGTCCTCATTTCTTTCTGCATTTCACCAGTCACCTCCGCATCTTCGATGGGATGCATGATGGCCAGGAACTGCGACCTCACTCGCGGCCGCATCTACAATTATGCCGACAAAGGCTGGAGACTACTAAAAGCAAAACGATAGTCTCGCTTTTGCTTGGCCACAGCTAGTACTACAGTACATGTTACCAAAAACCATGCGCACCTACTGCTCAACTCAACGAAGACTACTTGTCCCAACTCCTGGAACTGAGACTGTATACACCAGGTGTCAGACGCCACCTCACCATCATGCCCACTCAACTCAAGCGCCTTTGTCTTGCAGCCGTTCATTGATCATCGGGGAGGTTTTAGGATTATGGGTCTCAAACACTTCCATCCCCACAAGGATCAAAGTTTTGTGGGGTTAGGGGGATTCTAATGGTGAGTTGGATGGCTGCTAGCTTCACTGCGATCCCTGTAGCACCGTAATTCAAAAATGTTAAGTCGACGCACGCGTGTTTTATACACACCTATTCTTTCACACTGGATTGGCATGTCTAGATGGCGAAATTGCTATGGAAGCTCTACGGCAGGCAACATGCACTGCACAACTTGCCAATGATTTGTTCTCGGAATTTTTACACGGTGTCGGTGAGGCTCTTTCTACACACCTGCGATTTTGAGATTCAACAAATGGGACCTAGCAGCTCGCTAACTATCCTCATGGCTGCTGTCGCTGCGGAATTTTGTTCTTGCACCACCTCATCCATGCTGTACTCGGGACTACACTGCGTTGGCGTTCCCGAGTGAGGAAGCAAAGTTCCCCCACCCACTCGCGCCCTTTGAGTCAATATTTTCCATTAGCAGGGACGCCAAAGCGCAACCTGGGCTCGACGTCTGTAGCTGAGGCAGCAACGATGTCGATCTGCGGCTTCTGCAGGATTTTGATTTGACAGGGGATAGCTAATTAGGGGCAATTCAGGCCAAAACAATGCCCAGAGTTGAAAAAAACAAGGTGCCGTAGCCAGAGAGTCGGACAACTCCGCATGGTAACCACAAGCACTTTGTGTCAGTTGTTTGGGGCAATCACGCAGAGCTTGTTGTTGACTAGCGCGCCATGCCTTGAAAACGTACACGGGCAGGGCAGCAAATACATGAAGACATCCTACTGCAATAAACAAAACAAACCAAGTGTGGACAATGCGGTGTTCCCTCTTTTCAGCCCTAACATGCTGCAAATTGCTGCAACATGCCCTGTACTGCAGGGTTCGTGGACGGCATTGCGGGCCCGTGTTGCTAAACTTGGCTAGCAACCAGGACGTCACTGATCTGGATTATATCATTCAGGAGAGCTGCTACGAACCAAAAATATCGAAACATATCGAAACAAACCAACGAGTTCCGTGACCAGTTTGGCAGATCGCTGCATCTGCCAGAGGCTGGACATTGCAAACGCTCGGAAATGTATTCAGAGTTGAAAATTGGATTGCGCAAGGCTAGTCTCTCTCAACAGTTCCTTGCAGAAGGTATTGCTGCTTGAATTCTGATTATGATTAGAGATTGATAAGGCCTCTGCCAGCTGAGCTGGTGCCGATCAAAGTTTCACGGGAAGCACGCAACACTGCGGTCCCAGGGACACAAGATCAGAAAATATGACGCTGCAGGGGTGGTACTAGGCGTGCAGAAGCAAAATATTCTGGGACCGAATGCCATTTAGGAAAAGTGAAAGACACGCTAAACAGATACGGTATTTCAAAGGCTGCAAAGGACCACGGACAGCAGAGAAAACTCCACCAAGGCACAAAGCAACATGGGCATTGCCATGACCATGAGGTCTGTCAAGGAAGTAGCTCCGAAATACATGGTCCACAGAGGATACCTTCAATAAATGGACACCTCTCGAAAGACAGTCCCCATACATACCTGAAAAGACCACAAACCAGATCAAAATCTCCGAAGACCAGAACCCCAATGCTGAAACACCCACGGGCAACTCCGAAACCACTCTGCAAGGTAGCTCCTTGAAGCCCATCTCGCGCATGGAAGCGCAGGCTTCCGCCAAAGAGACCCTGGCTGCGCACAAGGATGTTCCAAATTCGTAAACTTGCGACCTAAAACGCCTCCATCTTAGCAAAATCCCAAGTTATTGCATGGAATCCCAATCCCATGTGGTAGCTTAGTTTCCTGAACCACAATCAGAAGGTCCGAGGAAAGACGCAGAATCACCAAGCAGGTTCAGAAACTTGCCAGTGTTGCTTCTGACCCTGTGCTTCCAGCAGCGGCTCTGGAATCTCCATGAAGCTTGCAAGCCCTGGAAAGCCAGCACATCCAGCCCAGCCGAGCTGTGGCTTTCAGAGGAAGAAAGGAGAGGGGGTTCTCATCAAGACCAGACCTCTAAGATCATCCTCCACATCTGCTCCAACTCCCGCCACCATTTCCTTGCCTACAACGGATGGATGACGTTCACCGAGCGTCCAACCACTTCACTGCAGCTGACCACAAACTTACCACTTCAGGACGGTGAGTATGAGCACCATTGCAAGAATGTGACTACTCTTTTCGTCATTGTTGCGGCGGGCATCATCACTAGAGTTGGAGCTGTTACGGCTACAGCTACTATTGTTAGCAGCAATTCGGGGGCAAGATCTCAGGCCTTCCTCCTCAGAGTCCGGTTCATTCATGACCGGATTGCCGCCGGAGAACTTGGCCTCCACAAAGGCTGATCCCAGCAGTGACAAGAATCGGTACTTGGATACAAAACGTCGCATGTTTGGCGACTGCATGAACGACTCCAAGAAACAATAAATCGAAAATCCACAGAAACCGACTCGCAAAATGTGCTTTTAAATTCTTGGACATTGACATTGCTAGCGGTGGGCCTTCACCATGGTCATGGTTCACCATACAGATTCAACGGGCCACTATGTTCCCCAAAAAAAGACACTCCAAAAAGAAAACGACAAAGCTCTGGATTTGAGGATCACTTCCACAACATTCCCTGCAATGCCAGTACCGGGCAATGGCCTTCTCCAGCAACTCGGCAACGGCATGGAAGTTCCTCAGCATGTAGCAGCTTCTGAAAAGTGTGTGCTCCTTTCAGGGCTCAGGGTTTTGGGCTTGCATGAGTCTGTTTCGACCGTATCAAAACGTGTATTCAACAATCGAATCCAAATCTGGAGGTATGCCGCCATAGAACTGCAAGCTCTTTGTCACAGTCAAATACAGCGCCCAAGATCCCTACGCTGCATCTGGTGAAGTCTTGCACCACTTAGGATCTGCAAAACGCCCTTCTTCGGCTTTGGGGGGTATATACTGTCGCGCCACTTTTTTATTTGTGATGCTGAGGTTCTCCATCCCATGCCGGTCATCAGAGGTCCTTGGCAACAACAAAGAAAATGGATAGCGGCTGACACTCTTGCTGGTAGTTGAAACGGGAAAAACAAGCAGTCAGCATAATACCAGAAGGATGAGAGCCAAAGTCAAGGATGCTTCTGCAGCGGCAGCTCCTGTTCCGGTGGCTGCTGTGTCTGGAATTTGTCGTACTGGCTCAAGACAGTCAGCGACACGAGTCTGTGAAAGCGGGCATGAACGAAAGGAAAAACAAATTCTGAACGTAGCCTCAGAACATAACGTGGACTTCATATATCTGTGCATTTGTGTGATGGTCTTGTTTCACAGCTTTATCCTACTTATGCCGACTACATTTCAAACCTTGCGTTGTCGGTAGGGGGAAAGATTGAACGATATTCTCCGTTCACGTTTACCAACTGCACCAGACTGCGACCGCAGCTGCAGCGGATCGAACACATCCGAAATTAAACGCACGAGGCTTCTGAAGCTCTAAAGCATCTTGCCAAAATATGAGGAGTAATGCTCAGGTTGGCGCAGTCTGAAAACCAATTCTTGCACAGAATCTCCCTCGATTCATGAGGCAAGATTTGCTTTCTGCAGGATTTACGGAATCCGGAAATTCGAGAGATTCAGAAACATGATCTTGACAACAAATGCTCGGCACAGAACGGCTCAAGGCAAAGAAACCCAAACTGCTCGGACTTGGTATTGCACCAACAAAATGTTCATGGTGAAATATTATGGCAGAAAAGAACGATCAAAAAGGCACAGCAAATGCCACATCGCGGGCTGGACCTTGCGCTTGCACAAGAGACTTTGGCTGAAGACCGACAGTGCCTGTCATTCAGTCAAAAGCACTGGCGTTTGAAGCGTCAGACACTGATCAAGTGGAGCGCCGCAGAGGGCGAAGCTCATTCAAAAAGAGGGGCTGCGTCAAAGAAAACCCTGACACGCTTCATGAACGTGTGCGCAAACTTTTGAGGCTTGATGTGGCTTCTCTTAGCTTCACCCCTCTGATCAGCGACTGGATTGGCAATCGAGGCTTTCACGGCTGCGACGGCTCAGGGAAGGAGCCGAGGACCAGAAAGATGGTGTAGCCCTGGCCAGTCTGAAACAAGTTGAAGCATGCTAAAGTGAACAGGACACACCCTCGATTTTACCCTACAATGCTGCATGCAAGAAAATCACACGTGCCCATGCCCAACACGTGCCGCAAAGCCCCAGACGAAGATGGCAACATATTGGAAGGATGTAAAGTCGGCCCTTGGAAGGATCGAGTAAAATGACCGCTCCACTTCCTGTCCACCGGCTCCACTAAAAACCCCCTCAAGCTGATCAACAGCAGGCAACACAGATCACTTGAAGACTTAAAGCAAGGTTGATCCAGCATCCTGCTGAACTTCTGGCTCCGGCCTCTGCCTGGAGTTGTGCCAGCCATGCCTGGTGGCAGGATATGGCTCAGCTACCGGATGGTGGAAAAGTTCGGCTTGCAGCCAGCAGGCCGCCAAGTAGAAAGGCCCGACTTGTGCCGGCCTGCACACAAACGCCCAGGTGAACACCCAACTAGCATGTGAGCACCGCTTGACCATGCTGGAATCTAGCTTGCCAAGACCTGGGCATCTGCAAAATGAGACACAAGTCAGAGCTTGTCTGGATAGCCCTTCGGCCTCTTCCTTGTGGAATTTAGGTTCCACCATCCGTCCAGCACCTGCCATGATGGATTATGAGACTTGGCCAGCTCCTAGGCAACTACAGGCAACGCTGCTCAGGTGAAACTGGAATCGATCACATGCATGCATTCCAACCTTGCTCTGTGCAATCGTGCGCCAGGAGCACTTTTTGTTCACGCTGCACTGTTCTCAAACGTGCGTGCGCTTATGACAAACACTTGGCAGGTCAGGTTACCCTGACAGCGGTGAAAGGTTGAACAGTCATTCCGTGGGACATCGTCGAGCTCAAACGCGGTTGATCTAAATGCGTCATACACTCGTGTCGCTTGGCTCTTTCCAAGCCAGCAACACACCACACTCTACTCCTTGGAGGTGAGGAGTTGGCTGGGGGAGCAGTTGCCAAAAGGATTGGTTACGTGGGTGGTTCTTTGAGGTTGCCCAGTTTAAAGCTGAGTGCTATGAGACTATATGACATGAAAACTGAAAGCTGATCGTTGGGAGGAGACTTGGTCGCCCCATTAATTCGGCGCGCTCCGTCGTTTCGGGACTCAGCTACACCTTGGAAAAGCAGCCCGATTCCGCCTCAGCACACAAAATGATGGCAAGGACCCTTCCAAACAGCCGCTGCGTGACTGCTTCGAACCCGGCAGAAGCATAAAGCAACCAACAAAAGGTCACCTTCTCAGAGCTGCAAAGCCCTCTGTGACTGGGCTTCCTAGACTGTCAACGACTAGTACACACCCAGCGTGGAAATGCGCGAGGGAGTATGCCCGTGCCCCTCCCTCGACTTACCGGCGCTTGAGGTAGAATGGGAGAATGGTTCTCCCTATCCCGTGTTATACTCCCTGCAATCCAGGTCAAGCACAGCTAGGTCAAGCAGCCACAAGCAAACCTTTGATCCTGAGGCAAAGGCAGGAAACGTCAAACAGCGGGAGCACCACCTGCAGACCAACACAGCTTAGGTTTTAGGATTCAGGGAACAGCCTGTCGTCTAGATAAGCAAGTTCCGAAACCCAAATGAAGTCCAGAGTAGTAACGTTTACAATATAGGCTGTGACCTGTTTATACGTTGAGAACTTCCTATCAAGCAAACATCAGTATCAGCCACATCAACAGCGTTGCGCCTTTTATGGAAATATTCGGGTTGTTCTTGGCGAGGATTTCTCGACCCTTGCCCTTGTGGTCGAAATCACAATTGTGGTCCTGTCAAGACGGGTGCTCTTCAAACATCACGTTTTGGTGCGTGTTTAACTTAAGAATGTGAGTCCCCGCAGAAACACAGCTGGTCTACAAGATCCAGAAAGGCAGCATGGTTGGCCAGTACTAAAGACACATATGGAAGAGCTTCTCAAGACTGCGGGTCCTGCAGAGGCGCCTATCACTACGACAATATTGCGTATGATACATGCAGGGACCTTGATTTCAGCATTATCCATATAGAGCAATTAAGAGCACCGTCCTCTGCGTGTCTGCACTTCGCGCAGAACGTATAGCCACATCGGCACTCGAAGCCAGTCAGGCCACACCTTGTCAATAAACATCAACTTCCAGGCCGAAAATGCAGAAACTGGATATTTGGGACCGATATCCTCTCACAAAAAACGATGTTTTGCGAGCTAACGGCTAGATTCTAACTGAACCTTCCTAATTCTTGAGGTTTTTACATCAAATGCAGAGAACACAAGGCCTTTCCTTGAGTGGCAAAGATGAGTGGACAAATGGCTGAGTTGAGGACTTTTTACCACAATGCCAGCACTTTGTTTTGTCCTGCAACAGGCAAAAAAAAAACAATGTGGGAATGTGCCAAACATAGGCCACGAGGTGATCTGCAAGACAATAAGATCCTATCATGGGGAGTCCGAAGCACAACCCCAATTTGTCGGAGAATTTCTGGCAAAGCGCAACAGGGTCGAAATCCAGAGTATCTGCCGCTCCTGTGCCTGAATTCCACACTCACCAACAGAAGTGAATACTGCCTGCCACGATTGATATCCCAATGTCCAGAGTGAGGTTCCCTGAGCATGTGGTGCCTACGATGAGGGCAAAAGCTTCAAAGAGCAGCATTTTGCCTATAGACCCGGAAATCCCCATAAAACTTGCTCAAATCATGGTAGCTGCGCAATACGCGATACAGATTGCCCTTAAATGCAATCATCGATCTCAAGGATGTTAAAGAAGTTGCTAACCATTCCTTACTGTAAATGCTAATGTCTTTGGTGATGTTGGCGAACCCCAGTCACGAAAACTGCAATAATTTGCATCAGAATTCTGAGGACTATGGGTCCTTCGCTGAGGTTCCTTGTCATACCAGCGATTATGACATGTTTCGGGTGATCATGATGATAGCAACAAGCAAATGCGGTCCTTCTGCTCTTCCCTAGGCACGTCTTCCATCGCCTCAGCTGTTCCCTGTGAGCTCAGAACAAGGCCACTTCGACAGGCTGGCCGGTTGCCCAGTGATAGTGAATCAGGACGATCGTCAGAATCAAAGCACAGGTACCATTTGAAAGACACAAAGCAACCATAGCAACTTCAGCAAAAACTGGACAGCAGCAACATCTATTCGCTGCAGACCATAGCCACTATGTTGCCCCTGGGTGGGGTGCTGAAACTTCTTCTTTGGGATCATGAGAATTGCGACATACCATTTTGCAGCTATGTAAGCAAACACCACATTCTTCAGGGCTGAGAGTTAAAGGTTCAAGGCTCAGCGTAAATAGGTCTGTTTGCATCGCTCATTCTTCCACCTTCCTTTGGAGATATGATTTTAAGTTGTAAACCCCATCCACGGGCCGCGACTTCATCGGGACTTTCTTTCTTTTCCTCGGCCTTTGCGGCCTCTTCCCTAGCAGCACCAAGACCCTCGTGGATCTCAGAATTGGGGCTGGGGCCACTTGGGGTTTAGCACTTTAGAGTTTAGCACATTTGGCGGTGGGGAGGGGATTGGAGGGCTTAGCGTCTAGGATTCAGAATTTAGGGTTCAGGCTATTCCGTTTCAGGTTTTTTTCTTAAAATCCCGTCGGCTCTTTTGACTCTTTTGGTCCCCAGCATGCTGCTCGGGAATGGGTTTTGGCCTGCATCCAACGAAATAACTAAAAGACTAACAAACCACCCTCAGAGCTTCACCTCAATCACGAGTCCTCAATCATCCTCAATCACATCACCATTTCTGGCCAAACTCAGGTACCGCCACAACGATCCGGGATAACATCAGACTCATCCTCGTCATCAGCGGTGGCGACTACGTTTAATGCCAGACCGTTTCAGGCTTTGAGGGCTGGGCTTCCCTGCCAGAAGCATCCAACAAACCCTGGAGCCATGGAACGATCCCCGCTATAGAGACCCAAAATTTAAAAAAAACTGCAAAACTTCATGTCAAGGATCCTCTTCAATCCTCTGCCAGCTTGTTACTGTTCAGGGCTTCGCAGATTTGGGTTGAGGGTCTTAGTGTCTTAGTAACTGGGCTTAGGTATCGATGGCAAGCGCATTCCACTAATCACAACAAGACAAACGCCGCAGCGAACCCGTTCTAAGTTGATAGGCTGACATGGGTGTCACAAGCGTGACAAAGCAGAACTTGATGAAGGATGTAGACTGGAAATCATGCTGTGCCGCATGGTGCCCTCAATACCTTCTCCGAGGCTAGTTTCATGTACATGTTCAGCGAAGGAAAGAAAAGGCTCTAAGCATGGAGGCCGCACTTTTCTTTCTTTGTTTTCGCTTCATCCTCCTCAAGAGGCAAGAGCAATTGAAAGCCCTTGAAGACGGTGCATGGCAGGAGCAGTCACACTCCAAGTGTATCAATACGCTGTCACGGCCAGGCACAAGGCAGTATCTTCCAAACGTCGCCCGTGGCTCTCCTCTTCTTTTTTCTTTCTTTCCGCATAACATTTTGAACCTCGGATGAGACCGGCACACTATGTCACACTGCTCGAACAAATGGGCGGAACTTGCTTTCCGGCTTCAGGACAAACACCGAGCACCAGACAATAGTTGTCTGTCTTGGCGGTGCCGCAGAATCCACACCCGCCGCGGCAGGGGACAGGAACAACCTGGAGCCAGATTGCAGCCAAATGGACTGGGCGACCATGCCAGAGAGTCTTGAAAGGGTAGACTTGCAATGTCCGGAGAACAGGACATACCAGTACTGAGCAAGCATGATCACCGCTGAGCTGAGCGCAGGCTCCTCTTCCTTTTTTTCTTCCTGCTGTGGACTCAGTCCACAGGATTCACAGGCAGCAGTCAGGTGCAACAGCATGCGATTGAAACAGCCTTCTACCAATGCAATCGGAGTCTGGCTGGGAATTCAAGTCCCCAAAACCTTTCAAACTGCACCCCCAAGCCAAGCCTTACTCACTCCCTCTTGCGGTCAGCCGGAGCAGGATAAGGCTTCGTAGAATATTTGCTGCTCTTAGCAGTCCTAATAATTACTTGTGCAAATCATAGTGTTCTTACTGCCTATTCTGCTTCTGCGACGCTTCCAAGTCTTCCGATACTCTTCCTGGCCTTAGTTTCTCTTCTGTCTTTCTATACAGGCAGTGCCACCGAGGCAGCTTCTCGAAATTGCTTGCCCCTAACGGGGAACGTCTATGATCCCTTGTGATCCCGTTCATGCCAGTATACTGTTCTGAAGCTTACCCTCAACCCGGAACAGGGTCCTTGGCTTCGGCTCCCCCAGGGGCGCTTGAGGCTCCCTTGACCTCTGCCGACAATGTGCTTGCTGGAGAGTAGTGGGAATATTGATCCACACTAGTGAGAAGTGAAACAGCAAGGAACATGCAAATGGACGAAAAGACATGGTCGGGCAACAAGAAGGAAAACGCAGCATCAATACAATCCATGTAAACTGGAACGCATTGCTGACGCCAAGCTCTTCACCAGGAACAGCGTCGACTTGTCACCTATCTTGGCTGACTCGAGGGTGTCCTCGTCCTGAGATCGATCAGCATGGCAGTCGCACACTTGTAACATTGGCATGAATTACCGTGGCCGTGGACAAGGACCTGAAGTTTCTGTCTTGAAATACCACAACCAGACAAATACTCTTTTCTATGACGGACCTCATTCGTATTCAGCAACAAGACCAAAAGCATGGCAGGAGTGCCAAGCCGTGCCCGGCAGTCAAAATGAAAGCATGTTTGTGGGGAGCGCCAGTACCTTACGAAATGATGGGCCTTCAGCAACTTGCCCTTCAGGAACAATCGCTGCTGCGATGAGTCCAAGCCGCACTCCTCGCAAGAGTCAGGGCAACCGAGCCGTCAAGAAGCACAGACCGTGCTGGCTTTAAGTAATTAATGCCTTCATGTTTGGCATGCAAACCTGTCTGTAGAGCACATGGACCACAAGACCACAAGTGACAAAGTGCCAGCGGCATTTGCCTCAGCTTGCCTGCCTCCTACTGCAGCCGATTGCTCCGAACCAGCTCCTCTTGGCACTTCTTCTTTAGCTCACCAATGGTCAGGGAAGCTTCTATCCCTCCCAGCTTGAAGGACCTTACCACGAACATGCTTGGCCGGAAAAACACAACCGCATAAGTGATGCTCTTCGAATGTGTTACCATGTATTACCATGCACGTCTGGCAGATATGTCGAATACCCTGCTATCCTCGCCATGCTGAACCTGGTCATCCGAGAGGCTTTATGGCCCCGGAGCTCTTGAAACTGAGCTCCATGTGCCTGAGGCTTCCAGTGCAAAAAAGCTGTGAAGAGTGGAACAGCATGCAACATACATGTATTCACTGATTCTGATGAATTTAGCTTACCATAAAACACCTCACTCTTTTGCCAGAGTCTGCTTGAATGCTATGGTCCAGCGGAGAAAATGTCAAGTCATGTTGCCAGCGCCCATCAACCACCGACACATAACCTGACTACGGTTACAGTATTCTCTGGCCGCTTCCCCGACTCAAGCCATCTAGAAAGCATTTGTATAGGGGGTGAAACATATTTGACATGGCTTCCAGCAAAAACTTATCCGCTGGATTCTGTAGATTATTAACAGGATTCGGGATCTCGCTCAGTGGAGAACTTGGAGACGCGAAGTGAAGTGCAGTGGACGTCTTGCAGTTGGGCTTGAACAGGGCTGCTGTCACCCCCAACCTGCCTGTCACCCCATGTAACCACACCGCCATCGCCACGGATGACCGCAAAGGCTGAGTTGGAGCCTTGGATATCGCGAGCATCATAGAGCTGGTCACGTACCGCCTGGCAGTCACCTCCATAGTCCTCATCTCCCCAGGTGACTACACTTCCATCTCCAAGGATTGCTGCAAAAGCTCCATCCGTAGCTGAAAGTTTCTGAACATCCTGCAGCTGCGTCTGCACAGCTGAGCTGTTGCCACCTCGACCGAAGCCATGGCGGCCTCCCCAGGTGACGACCGTGCCATCATCTCGAACAGCTGCAAAGGCTGTGTCCGTGGCTTTGATCTCCTTTATATTCTTCAGCTTATCCTCCACACTGGAGCTGTCACCACCCGAGTCAGCGGAGCCCCATGTCACCACACTTCCATCACCGCGAATGGCAGCGAAAGCATAGCTGGAGCCGTGGACTTTGCGCACATCCCTCAGCTGAGACTGGACGGCACTACTGTCCCCACCACCATGCTTGTCACCCCATGTGACGACACTGCCATCACTCCGGATCGCGGCGAAGGCTGAGTAGGTATGATGGATCTGTGCGACGTTCTGGAGAAGATCTTGCACTTCACTGCAATCTCCACCGCAGTCCTCACTTCCCCATGCAACTGCGCCGCCGTCTCCCCGAATAGCAGCAAACGCTCGACCTGAGGCAGCGATGTGCTTGACATCCACAAGCTGCTTTTGCACTGAACTGCTGTCTCCGCCAAAACGTCGGTCGCCCCAGGTAACCACACTACCGTCATGTCGGATAGCTGCAAAGGCGAACGCTGAAGCGGACATGTCGTTCACGTCGCGCAGCTGTGCCATAACAGCGTTGCTATCAGCACCACAGGCAGTATCACCCCAAGTTACGACAGAATCATCACTCAAGACTGCCGCGAAGGCTCCACTGGAGCATCGAATTTTCTGCACGCCTTCAAGCTGGGCATGAGCCACGCTGCTGTATTGACCGCATGCAACCTTTTCACCCCAGGAAACCACGGAGCCATCTCCACGGAGTAAGGCAAACGCTCTGCAAAGTCTTCCCGACACCAGCATCGCATATCTGACCGTGGCAGTAACGGTATCTCCATCTCGCAAGCCTATGTCTTGCAAAGTGGATGTCCCTTTCAAGAGCTGACCATCGGCTGTGATCAACTCATGGATGCCAAGTTCTTTTTGAACCTTGGACCGCAGTCGTTGGATGGTGCACGCAGGGTCCACGACAACCGTTGTGGCTTCGCCACTCAACAAGGCAACCCGAAGCGAAATGGACATCGGCGGTTCCACCTCCTCTGAACATTCGTCCGCACCAGACATCAATTGGTGTGCATCATGGTAACCTTTGTGTCAAGTCCATCGCAAGAAGGACGGACAAAGAAAATCTGACTGCGCTGGCTTGACATAAGCTGAGATGATGCAGCTTGGCTATTCATCCAACGATTAGGCTTGTGGATCCTGGGACAAACCAGTGCCAAGAAGACTTAGGATGCCGTGGAAGCAATTTGCTGTTCACATGCGCGTGTACTGCAAGCTGACCTGAAGCCTGCTGCAAGCGCGTCGCGTGCACAATCCTACCAAGGCCTTCACGTAGTTCTGGCAACGATGTGACTTGCTCTCAAACACCTGTTGCAGATCGGCTGTTGACTGAGCCGCAGGCCCAGGGCCCCCTACGCACCACCCAAGGACCGTGCCTCAGTCAGTGATGTACCCACTACTCTGAGACCCTCCCGACACCACGGTGCATGAGAGGCATTGCTGCTAAATTGCATAGTTGTACGATCTTACATGTGAAATGGTGTCACTTGAGAAGTAAAAGAAAACAGGAAACCTTGTCCACTGGTCTCATGAGATGCCAAGAGCCAGACGCCACACTCCGTGTCGAATTGCTACGCGCACGGGCCGGAAAAGGCAACGGAAGGTAAACAAAACAAGCATTAAAAACCCTGCTGCTGCTTTTGCGAGTGGAAAACCACAAGCAGGACGGCATGGCATGAACATTCAAGGCTCGCGACCCCCTAAAATACGCATGCAGATCCTCTGGGCTAACACAATTCGGGCACACCATCGCACAACAGCTGCACCTGCCTTTCGAATGGCAAACCAGTGGTCATGATACTGACCTGACCCACTTCCAGCAACGCCTAGACGCATCATGCATGTGCAGACACATACATACACACATACACACA